CAGAAAGTGAATTCAAAAGGCAACCCACTTGGTCAAAGGGAATGGCACATGGAGTTTAACAGAGCTGAGACAATTCATTCAGTTTTAACATTCATTTCAAATTAAGTGCTAAGGAAATGGGTCTTCCAGTGTCATTAAAATAAGAAAAGCCCTTTATGAAGTTAAGATGTATGCTACTTTTTAAAAAAATAAGATCGGGGGGATAATGATTAAAGTATTTAATAATAACATTGGAAGCCAAAGTAGCAGGATATGTTTTCTAGTAACAAGGAGGAGCTTCTGTGATTCATGTATATTGGAAATATATACAATTTTTAAAGCTCTGTTGGGAAATGATTTGATTTTATGTTTGTGGGACTAGCATTGTTTGGGTTTCTTAACATAGCTGTAAAGCATTGATAATCTTCAAAAATTATAATTATGCTTGTCACAGAGAAAGTGGATGGAGGATTTTTTTTCTCTCACTCTCATAACACGAGAACTCAAGGAAAGTTAATGAAGCTGACTGTTGGAAGATTCTAGACATTCTTCCAATTGGAACTCATTTGCCCAGGAGACAGTGATGGCCACCAACCAGGATGGCTTAAAAAGAGAATTGGACAAAAGGATGCTGGAATGGATGGACCGTTGGCCTGATCCAGCAGCCTCTTCTTATGTAAGGTAAAGGGGCCCCTGACCATTAGGTCCAGTCGTGACTGACTCTGGGGTTGTGGCGCTCATCTCGCTTTATTGGCCAAGGGAGCTGACGTACAGCTTCCGGGTCATGTGGCCAGCACGACTAAGCTGCTTCTGGTGAACCAGAGTAGCACACGGAAAGGCCGTTTACCTTCCCGCCGGAGCGGTACCTATTTATCTACTTGCACTTTGATGTGCTTTCGAACTGCTAGGTTGGCAGGAGCAGGGACTGAGCAATGGGAGCTCACCCCGGCGCGGGGATTCGAACCGCCGACCTTCTGATCAGCAAGCCCTAGGCTCTGTGGTTTAACCCACAGCTCCACCCACGTCCCTTTCTTCTTATGTACTTATGGTGAAATTGAAGTTTTTTCAAAATTTGCGTCAGAAGATTGTCCCTCCATAGGATTTTTGAGCTATGGAATTTGTAGAACTATGTATTCAAAGTCTTGGGAAAGGGACACAGGTGACACTGTGGTCTATACCACTGAGCCTCTTGGGCTTGCTGATCAGAAGGTCAGCTGTTCAAATCCCCATGACAGGGTGAGCTCCTGTTGCTCTGTCTCAGCTCCTGCCAACCCAGCAGTTCGAACGCACACCAGTGCAAGTAGATAAATAGGTACCACTGCGGCAGGAAAGTAAATGGCATTTCCGTGCACTCTGGTTTCTGTCAGGTGTTCCGTTGCGCCAGAAGCGGTTTAGTCATGCTGGCCACACGACCCAGAAAGCTGTCTGTGGACAAACACCGGCTCCCTTGGCCCGAAAGCAATATGAGCGCTGCAACCCCATAATTACCTTTGACTGGACTTAACCATCTAGGGGTCTTTTACCTTTACCTTTACCTTGGAACAGCATGAATCTAGGAGCAAGACAAAACCTGAACTTTGGGGCTGTCAGTGAGTATATCTATAGCCATGATTTGAGTTATTTATTGAGGACTGCAATCTTATCCCTTTGCACTTTTTAAAACGAATCATTGCTGATTTTATCAATACACTCATATTCTGAATTAGCCGATAGCATTTGATACAAATGGATTAAACACCATTAACCTTTGATATTTCGTTATACAGCCGGCACGCTTGAATTCTTCTCATCCCAACTACTCGGTTATTTTCTTCTCGGTGGTATGTGTTTTTGTTGCGTTGGCAGCCCCACAAGCTGCACATGTTGTGCGTTTGCCTCTGTGTGTTTTTTGGTGTGGCATATTCGACGTTAGTAACATTGCAATCACATAAGTCAAGTTCCAACTCTTCGGCTGTATACTCACTTGCTAACAATACTAGTGGCTTTGACGAAGCGATACCAAAATATCTCATGCTGTGGCCAGTTGCTATATGCGTGGTTAGCAAGTTTTTGCTCAGCCAGCACAGCACACACAGGTGTGAGCAGTGCCTTCTGGGAAAGTTGTGACCTCATACTCTTATTTGGAGGAGGCCCTCTGTGGTTGAAACTGAATCTCTCACCTGTTAGGTCCAGAATAGATGCATTGACCATTACTACACTGTGCAGAGAGGGCATCTCAAATACTTTCCAGCCGATGAACATTTGGCCATATCTTCTGTGCATTTAGATGGGTGCAGTCCCTTTAAAGTTTCACGGCTTCTCTATCAGAGGTTTAGATTACATGCTATTTTGTCTTCCAAACACGAAAGTGTCAGGAGACCAAACTTAAGTCACATGAGCAGCGGATCTTATTGACATTCAAGTGTTTTCCATAATACTGTCTAAGCATGAGACATAACAATCATGCATTAGATAAAGCCAAGTACCAGAAAGATAGTATTTCATTGACAATATAACATCATTCTCCCCACCTGTGAATAATAATAATAATAATAATAATAATAATAATAATAATAATAATAATATATTTATACCCCACCCATCTGGCTGGGTTTCCCCAGCCACTCTGGGCGGCTCTCAACAGAATATTAAAAACACGATAAAACATCAAACATTAAAAACTTCCCTAAACAGGTTTGCCTTCATATTTCTGGTATTCAAAGGGATACTGACTCCAGCGCTGAAAGCAGAACATAGCCATTGTGGGAGATATATGGAGCAGTGCTGTTGTGCTCATGTCCTGCTTAATAATAATAATAATAATAATAATAATAATACCTTTATTGTTCAATGTACAGGGTACGTGGGTGGCGCTATGGTTTAAACCACAGAGTCTAGGGCTTGCCGATCAGAAGGTCAGCGGTTCGAATCGCTAAAAGCTGTTTATTGCTAAAAGCTGTGCACTCAAAAAAGTAACATTTCATCGGCCTGATCCATATATTATTCAAGGAAGTTCCTGGCAGAATACACAAGCTTCCTTTACAAGTCACTGAAGCTCATTAACTCTCTTCGCACACACTTGCCATCTGGCTGCACTTATGAGATATTATTGCCAATGTGCCTCATAGTCTGTGACAACCCTCAGTCTGTAGATGAAAACGAAGTGGGACCTTATGCCATCTAATTTCTCTGAAACAAGTTGGCACCTTCTGATTCTTCTTCAAATGCCCTGTAGGGGAAAAAACCCTAACATTTTCTAACGTTAATGGCAAGCAAAAAAATATGCATTATGTTTGTTTGTTTGTTTGTTTGTTTGTTTGTTTTCTTCATTCAAAAGGACACTTAACAACGGGAACAGCCCAAGACTGGGAAGGTGGCATCCCCTCCCATATATGTGTGTGTGTGTGTGTGTGTGTGTGTCAGGGAACTGCCATCGGAGCCTAGAGTGGAGGTAAGGCTCCCCAACGATGCAGGAGAAGGGACCAGCAGGGGGAGAGAGAACACTTCCTTTGAGGAAGGAAATAGGAGTGACACCAGGAAGCAAGGGGAAACTGCGGAGAGAGGGCTCCAAGACTCTTCCACAGAGACCAGCGGGGAGAGCACAGGACCTCCGTTGGGCACGCCCACTCTGCGCAGGAGACTTCCACGCAGGGAGGCAAGGAGGAGACTTGGCGTCAAAGAGCTTTCTATGTTGGAAGAAGTTCAGGAAACGCCCACTGACGGATTCTGCCAGCGACTGACACAGCCATGGAGAAAGGGCTGTCCAGCCAGGGAAAGGTTTAGCCAGGCTACGTTGCCTAGAACAGTAGCACCCTTTACGCACAAGCAACCCCCAACAACCATTACAATATATATATATATATTTCTTGGTTTCTCTTATTTCAAATAAATCCTTTTAATACACACTGGAATGCTGAAAAGGTAAGGGGGGATGTTAGCTTACGGAGAAACACAGCTCAGGTGTTCAATCTGGCCTCCAGAGACTTCACAACAGGCTCCCAGTATCCTACCCTCCAACATTTCTCTGATGAAAACTGGGACGTCCTAGTCCATCATCATCCTAATTTTCTTATTTATACTCTGCCCATCTGTCTGGGTTGCCCCAGCCACTCTGGCAGGCTTCCAACACATATAAGGTAAAGGTAAAGGGACCCCTGACCATTAGGTCCAGTCGTGACCGACTCTGGGGTTGCGGCGCTCATCTCGCTTTATTGGCCGAGGGAGCCGGCGTACAGCTTCCGGGTCATGTGGCCAGCATGACTAAGCCGCTTCTGGCAAACCAGAGCAGCGCACGGAAACACCGTTTACCTTCCCGCCGGAGTGGTACCTATTTATCTACTTGCACTTTGAGGTGCTTTCGAACTGCTAGGTTGGCAGGAGCAGGGACTGAGCAACGGGAGCTCACCCCGTCACGGGGATTCGAACCGCCGGTCTTCTGATCAGCAAGTCCTAGGCTCTGTGATTTAACCCACAGTGCCACCCGCGTCCCTTTCCAACACATATAAAAACATAATAAAACATTAAACACTGAAAAACTTCCCCATACATGACTACTTTCAGATGTCTTCTAAAGGTTGTATAGTTACTTCTCTCCTTGGCTTGGAGGTTGCATAATTCCATAATTCCAAATGCCGACTCCCTCTGCCTAAAAGCGAGATGAGCACCACAACCCCGTAGTCGCCTTTGACTGGACTTAACCATCCAGGGGTCCTTTACCTTTTTACCTATTATGCTTCCTGTATTCTTAGGCTATCTATTCTTATGCTAGATTCTTATGTCTTTATTGTTATGTTCTGTAAATTATGCTCTTAATGTTGTATACCACTCTGAGATCTTTGGATAAATGGCAGTATATAACTGGAAAGAATAAGAATAAGTGCTATTCTTCTAGAAAATAAGGTGCCAGAACTTACCATGAACATCTCACTCGTTCTCTGAGAATGGCAATGGTGCCCACCTGAGAGGTGCCAGAACCCTAATAATAATAATAATAATAATAATAATAATAATAATAATAATAATAATAATAATAATATCTTCACTTTGGCAATGATGAGTTTCTTCTTTTCATCAGCAGTGGATCCATTCCACAGAACTGGAGCTTATAAGACGGGCCTTCTGAAAAGTCAACAAGTCCATCTGTGAACCAGCAAATAAATTGATTCAATTCTGTATCATCTCCAGGAAATGTGCCTGCAAGGTCAGCTGGGGAGACGTTGTCATTTAGCCAGCACCAGGCACTGCATGCGAGTGAGCCTTCGCATAGTGACCTTTCCTCCATCCCGAGCACTGAACATTCTTTCCACAGTCTGGTACATGTGACTGCATGGTTAACTCTGTGACAGCGCGAGAACATTAAGTGGGTGTCAGTGACTAATGATAACTTGTCTTCAGGCTTTTATTTTCGTGAGTCCTGTTCTGTGCATACACGTTAACAGCTGTAAGCCTGTCTGGTGAATGTTGTCACTGTGGCACTTTGTTTGTGGGCTTGCTTCTTCTTCATCATCTTTAGCAATCACTCACATCTGAGTAAGGTTGTCTTCCATGAACACTGTCTTAACAGTGAGTCCGCAAGTGACTGTGGAGGCTGATTCTGGATCCACACGTCCTTCCACAGTGGGAACAGAGGTTTCCAGGCAGGAGTTGATCATGGTGAGGGTTTGCCAAACGTGCCTCCCTCTTAGAACATTTCTTCCTTTCATCCTGATTTTGAGCGTCTTCAAAGTCCATGACACCTTTGGTAAAGGCTGTTCTCCAACTGGAGCGCTCACAGGCCAGTGTTTCCCATTTGTCGGTGTTTTTACTATATTTTTTTAGATTTGCCTTGAGAGAGTCTTTCAACCTCTTTTGTTGACCACCAGTATTACGCTTTCTATTTTTAAGTTCGGAATAGAGTAGTTGCTTGGAAGATGATAATCAGGCATCCGTACAACATGACCAGTCCAACGAAGTTGATGTTGAAGAATCATTGCTTTGACACTGGTGATTTTTGCTTCTTCCAGTGATGATCCAGCGAGTGAATGCGGATTTGTAGTACAGTGGTACCTCGGGTTAAGTACTTAATTCGTTCCGGAGGTCTGTACTTAATCTGAAACTGTTCTTAACCTGAAGCACCACTTTAGCTAATGGGGCCTCCTGCTGCTGCCGCGCCACTGGAGCACAATTTCTGTTCTCATCCTGAAGCAAAGTTCTTAACCTGAAGCACTATTTCTGGGTTAGCGGAGTCTGTAACCTGAAGCATATGTAACCTGAAGCGTATGTAATCCGAGGTACCACTGTACTCTTATCACATGCATGATCCTTCTGAAGGTTTGAGTTTCATTTGTCCAATCTAGTCAACATTACCAGGAAGCACATTCATGGCCAGATGCAACCAATCGGTTGCTAAAATTGTAATGGCAACAATGCACAAAGGCATAGGGAAACTGGTAAAAGTGTGTCTTGTCTGTGCTGTGTGATGCAGTGCAGGAATTTGGGCCAAAGAATACAAAATAAAATAGGTACATTGCTACTTTACCTCCCAACTGCTCTCCTTTTTTTAAGGAGCTATCAGATTCATAGAACTCTTGATCGGTAATAATATAAAGGAGCTGCGAGAGCCATGCCATGACTGCCCAAATCTCGATTTAGAGGACATATTCCTCAGCTTGGAGTTTCTGCAGAGCTGGGAAATGGAGCTGGAAGCTGCAGCTAAAGAGACTATGAAGTGCACCAGGCCAAAAGTATTGCTCCATTTACTAGGCAAGGTTGCCAGACTTCTAATATTTATATCGAGCCTGTCTCACACAAAAACATCATGCCTGGCATTTGCAGAGAGGTCAGCGCCCTGTGCAGATTCTCTCAAAGTGATTTACAATTGTAGATCCTCATGGAAGGAAGTATGTGTCAGGAGTGCGTGCAGCAGCCAGGCCCTGTGACTGGTAGGGCCTCGAAGGATCGGGGCCTTCCTGAGTTTGGCCTGGAAGGGCAAACAAACAGACGGCCAGACAGAAAGGCAGGAGCTGGGTCCGAGCAACGGGAGCTCACCCCGTTGCGGAGATTCGAACCGCCGACCTTCTGATTGGCAAGTCCTAGGCTCTGTGGTTTAACCCACAGCGCCACCAGCATTTTCCCTTAGACATCCCTATTTTCATCGGAGAAATGTTAGAGGGTATGTGATCCTTATACCTTGGGTTCAAATGAATGACGGTTGCTTATATACATGCATCTGGCTACATTGGAGTCTATCGTCCATAGCTTCTTTGCCTTCTTCCCCATTGCTTCTGCTGCTTTTGTGCAAAGCAAGAAAGCAGTTGAAAGAAAATGCCCCCCCTTTTTTTTTTGCTCCAGCAAAGATAATCCTCTAGGTTATCCAACCTGTTTTATCCATGAATGTGAATTTCTGTGTAGTCACAAAGCCAATGCCCTTGAAAGCTCTCTGTCAGGATTAGGGCACCTTCCAGATGTTGCTAGACTACAAATCCCATCATCCCCCACCAGTGTGGCCAATGGTCAGGGATGATGGCAGTTGTAGTCCAACGACATCTGAAGGCCACCATGTTGGCTACCTCTGCTGTGATACATTTGCTCACAAGGCCTCGCTCATAGTAGGAGGCCGGCCTGAATTGGCCGGTTTCGAAGCCCGGATTCTGTTGCGAGTGAAAAAAGAAGTCTGGTGGAAATTCAGTGGGAGGCAAATGGCAAAGATGCCTGTGAGAGGATTTGGAAGAGCAGGGGCAATTTTGGAAAGTTTCTGGAGGTATCTAATGAGGGCGGTCCCTTATGGCTTCTTTACTTCTGCATCTCTCACCTGACCCCCACAACACTACAGTGCCAGGCAAATTCAATTCACTAAGAAGCAAATCCTGCTGTGTTTAACAGAGCTTACTCCAAACTAAGGGTCTGTGAGATTGCAGCCAAATGATACGAATGAAGCCGCCAAATGTAAGAAAAGTCATACTTTTCTTACATGCCCTCCAAGCTTTCTCTGATGAAAATGTTGTTGTTGTTGTTTAGTCGTTTAGTCGTGTCCGACTCTTCGTGACCCCATGGACCAGAGCACGCCAGGCACTTATGTCTTCCACTGCCTCCCGCAGTTTGGTCAAACTCATGCTGGTAGCTTCAAGAACACTATCCAACCACCTCGTCCTCTGTCATCCCCTTCTCCTTGTGCCCTTCATCTTTCCCAACATCAGGGTCTTTTCCAGGGAGTCTTCTCTTCTCATAAGGTGGCCAAATTATTGGAGCCTCAGCTTCAGGATCTGTCCTTCCAGTGAGCACTCAGGGCTGATTTCCTTCAGAATGGATAGGTTTGATCTTCTTGCAGTCCATGGAACTCTCAAGAGTCTCCTCCAGCACCATAATTCAAAAGCATCAATTCTTTGGCGATCAGCCTTCTTTGTGGTCCAGCTCTCACTTCCATACATCACTACTGGGAAAACCATAGCTTTAACTATATGGACCTTTGTTGGCAAGGTGATGTCTCTGATGAAAATAGGAACGCCATATTCTAGTATTAGTATTAGTATAGTGGTACCTTGGTTCTCAAATTTAATCCGTTCCGGGAGTCTGTTCAACTCACAAAATGGTTTGAAAACCAAGGTGCAGCTTCGGACATTTGGCTTCCTAAAAACATTCACAAACCAGGACATCACTTCCGGGTTTGTGATGTTCCGGAGCCGATTTGTTCGACTACCACTGTATACAGTATTAGTATTATTTTATTTATGCACCACTCATCTGACTGGGTTGCCATCCACTCTGGGCAGCTTCCAACATATATAAAAACATAATAAAACATTAAACATTAAAAAACTTCCCTATACAGAGCTGCCTTCAGATGTCTTTGAAAGGTTGTATGGTTACTTATCTCACTGAATTGGGAGTCGGATATCTCCATACCCTCCAACATTTCTCCAATGAAAAAAGGGATGTCCTAAGGAGAAGGGGGGACACGGGTGGTGCTGTGGGTTAAACCACAGAGCCTAGGACTTGCCGATCAGAAGGTCGGCAGTTCGAATCCCTGCGACGGGGTGAGCTCCCGTTGCTCAGTCCCTGCTCCTGCCCACCTAGCAGTTCGAAAGCACGTCAAAGTGCAAGTAGATAAATAGGTACTGCTCTGGTGGGAAGGTAAACGGCATTTCCATGCACTGCTCTGGTTCACCAGAAGTGGCTTAGTCATGCTGGCCACATGACCCAGAAGCTGTACGCTGGCTCCCTCGGCCAGTAAAGCGAGTTGAGCGCCACAACCCCAGAGTCGGTCACGACTGGACCTAATGGTCAGGGGTCCCTTTACCTTTACCTTTAAGGAGAAGGGGGACATTCTGGGATCAAACCAATCTGGGACGTTTCCTGGAATATACGGACACTTGGAGGGTTTGTTCTTGCCGATAGAATAGGCCTGAAAGAAGCATGATAGCATCAGTTTACTCCTGCAGTAACTTTAGCAGCAAAATCCTTCTCTTTTGGCCACACTGCCAATAAATTTGTAATTTACTCCCATGTCTCACCTTCTGAGCTGAAGCACTTTCATACTGGAATAAACGAATCCTGTTTGAGAGGGTAGAGGTGAATGCACTATACGTTTCAATTACATGTGTGTTCATTAAAAGAGTCCCACACTATAATTAGTTACATAACTTTTATGGGAGGTGCTAGATTGCCCTAGATCAGCCGGAATCAAGTTATATGAGGGTAAAGGTCTAAGCCAGTTGACTACAAGTCCCCTGAGATGTTTTTAATGATGTTCATGTGTAGTCTGTCCTTAGGCAGAATTCTTCTAATTCCTTCTTTATCTTTTTTTGTTATCTATTGTCTGCAGCACTTTGTCTGAGACACTTGGACCAGCACGGTTATTTATCCTATGGTTACATGCCTCTCAATACTTTCCTCAGCTGAATGTGTCTGTACGGCACAGAATGTGCCCAAATAATTGCTTCCAAATTAGTTCGTCTCGTACATTTCTCCATGGCCATCTAAATATTCATAATTGAAGTCTTTATTTTGTTTGTTTTTTTGAGACACAAGAAAAACATGGCTGTGCTTCTTTATCTGTGGTTTCACTGCAACTTACGTCATTATGTTCATTAGAGAATATCACTTGCATCATTACATATCTATTGTGTTCCAAAGAAGGCCAAAATTACAGAGGGGCCTCTGCCCAGTTTCAGGATTGCTAGGTTCCAATATAAATCTTTGTGATTTCCCCCCACTCTTTGGTCTTCTCGGCTTGTATGAAGGGATGCTGTGACCCTTCCATTTGCTCTAGCCACCAATAATAATAATAATAATAATAATAATAATAAA